ACGTAACCCTGACGTTCCGGCAAGCCACGTCAGCGGGAAAGCGTCGGGCAGACCCCGGTCTGCAACAACTGTTGATCAGCGCTGGGATTCGAAGCGACAACTGGTGAACAGCGCTGAGATCTGCAACAGCGCATATAAGCAGAGAGTTGTCAAAGAGGATGCGTGTGCCTTTCGCTGATAACTGTGATAACTAGACGGTGTGCTCTACACTATCGCGAAGGCTTGCCGCTGTTCGGCTTTGATTTGACGCTGATGTACGTTCATACCAGGTTTCTACACGTTTATGTTTAAAACACATGCCAAATCTAAAATAAAATGATTGGCAAGAGGACTGAACTTTGAGCACTCACTCTCTCTGACCCCAAGCTATGTCAGTGGTGCATAACATGCCGCATTGACGATAATATGCGACTGGTAAACATGTTATTGCTCCGAATTCACTAACACAAAATGAAATCTTATCGCTATGCAAAAATGAACTGGTGAACATTTGGTATAGTTTGTTTTTATTAGCTAGGAGTCAGTGGACGCCATCTATGCCTTAAATCTTTTACGTCGTTTCTTCAGTTTGCACACTTTTGAAACACGTTCGGTAAGTTTTGAGTTTTTTTTTTTTTTGAACGAGATAGTAAGTGACAACGAAGTTTTTTTTTAGTAGTCCTCAGAGCAATACATCATTATCGTGTATTTCGAGGCACGCATTGTCTTTTTTTACATGTTTCGAGGAAACGTTATAAGTCACAATTTTTTTCGTCTAAGACGGAATCGTCTCTTATACATCTTACATCATTTAGGAACATGTACACGTGCGCGTAAGATAAAATTAATAGCGTGTAACAGATAAAGAAATGGCCACCATTGGCGTATACTGGTGGTTAATGAGCAAGGACTGTGATAACTTGTGTAGTCCAACATGCGTAGTTAACCACCAATATATTTATTTATTTATTTATTTATTTATTTATTTATTTATTTATTTATTTATTTACAATGTTGTCGCAACGTGCAAAAAACAAGCCACAACACTTCGTAGTGACGGGAATAGGCAAGGATAAATTCAAACGCAAGATCAGACTCTCCAACATCGTCTTTCTCGCAGATATTGCTCGATCTGCTCGCTTCACTCTCGTTCTACATGTCACCTTGCTGAATATTGATTGTGACAATATTATAAACAAATCAGATCAAAACGACGCTGAAACTTGAGCTCATTCACAATCAACAAATACACTGCAGTCGAGCTTGTTCAGGTCAATAATTGTAACAGGCAAAAAGGAAAACTGGAGGACATCCGAATACGGATGATTGATGCACGGTGACACTCAGGCTGGGGGGGGGGGGGGGGGGTACAAGTAAAAAGTTGGATCTACAATTAATGCTGTGTAATACAGCAAGCGTGCTGTTTGTCTGTGCGTAGAAAGCTTCTGAAGGTTAGCCTTGTGATGTGACACGGTCACTAATGGCAACCTCTGGTAAGCCGAATAAATAAACCTGGCCATATCTTTTCTAGCTCATCAACAAGCTTTTGACCGTATGGGTCTTGGACAATACTAGCACATTATAGGGCATGTGGAACTACTGTTTTATAAGCCATCTTTTTTGTATCAGGTAGAGCATCTCTTAACTTTCGCCACAGAATACCCAGCATACATTCAGTCCTACCACAATTACTTTCAATACACTACTTTCAGGTTAGACTCGAAGTGATTATAATGCCGAGATCACTGACTAGATTACTTAGCTTTCTTAATCTTTGTGTTATATGTGAACGTTAATGACGCGTTTTTATTTAAAACTGGGATGCATGGATTCTTTTCAGAATTAACTTTCATATCCCATTTCTCACAACCCTGGTCAAATGCACACAAATCATCATTGAGCGAGCTTTGCTGAGCAATGCTTTTTACACGCATATATAACACAGCCATTCGCGAACAGTCTCATGTCAACGGCAGAGTGAACAGCTTTTGAAACATCATTGACATACAACAAGACTAAACTGAGATTTTTGACCAATCACTGTGGTGCTCCGGACATAACAGGCAATGTTTGAGACCAAGCTCCGACAACTTCGACAATTCTGCTACGCAAATAGGCAGCGTGAAATTTCGTATTTTCACAGCTAAACCAAGCTCATGCAGTTCTTCTATCGGTTTTGCCCGACAATTATCGTGAAATGCCTTCGACGAATGTATCATGATCCACCTACTGCGATGCCTATTGAGAAATGTAGCGTGATCTCCATTTCCTATCTAGAGTTAAGAGCACTCTAAAATGTGTGTATTGTTTAGAAAAGCCGAGTGACAGTTGACTGGCATTTGCGAAACCCATGTTGACTTTTGCAGCAAAGCTTATGTTCAATATAGTTCACTGGTTGTTTAGAAATTACAGTTTCTAACCTTTTACACGTGGTACATGTTATACTAATCGGGTGATTAATAGCTACATTGAGTTCGTCTCCCGATTTTATTACAGGCACTACTCTAGCTATCGGCCACATTCTTAGCACCTTTCCTTCTCGCAGCAATACACTAAATGTTCGAAACTAAGCTTGTTCTGCAACATTTTGGTGCCTGCTGACTGCTTAGTGTCTAACTTTAGCAGCAAAGACAAATTACTCTCCTGAAAAATAATTATATGCTGCTCAGTACTTTGAAGCCTAGTATTTGGCAAAAACTCCTCTGGCGATTAAAATTATGGCTTATCCAACGCGCACTCGCTGAATAAAAAGAACACAAAGCGACACAATAGACATTTAGGCGCTCTATAAGGGTGCCGTGTTCACAAAGGAACGAATGTATGGTGCTCTTTATTATAATCGTGTCGAAAGACGCTACACGCTCGCGTATACCTCAGAAATTGGACGCCATGTTTCATTTATCGTGTTAGGTGTACATTCTATACAGAATGACTTCATGAGCAGGCGAGATTTTAATATTTTCTTTTTTATTGAACCTGATTGTTAGTCAAGACAGCATCTAGTATTTTCATGATGCCCTGCAGGGTGCTCGAAAACATGTCTGCTGTGGTCCTCTCGTGCTGCTGTAGTCTTCTTTGAAAGTTTCCTGTCTCGCGTACATAGCAAGCCTGGCCATTCTGCCCCGGAAGTCCGCTGAGTATGGCAGGGTATCTTTTCCTTTCAAGATGGTCTTTGATTTGAACGACTTGTTGTTTCAACTTGCTTGAAGAGATATGACATACTTGCACTTCGCCGTCAGGAAATATTCTTGAAAGCGACTCTCTCACAAATTTTTCATGGGGTAGTAAAGCCGGCTTCTTCGTTGTTGCCTTGTTGCCCGGACAGTGGCGTCATCTACGCGCCTTTCTTTCCTTTCAATAAGTTGGTCGGGCTAGTCATTGCTGATCAAATCTTACGTCACTTTCTTCAGCTTAGCTCCACATGTGTCGTAAGTAGAACACAATCAGTACGCGTGAATAAACAGTGTAGATGCAACAGAGTGTTTTTGTGTGATGGGATGCGCCGAATCAAAGTGGAGGTGTTTTGCTGTGTGCGCAGGCTTTCGAGGAACGCTTGTTAAATGGCTGGATGTGATTTGTGTAACTTCAACGTCCCAATTACCATTCACTTCTTCAACGGTCAAATCAATCGTGCTCTGGAATGAGTTCAGATGCTCTGGTATAGAAACAACGTCTTCATGGCGGACAATGCAAGAACTACGTGCTCCAGAACTAATTTCGGCACAGTCTAGAACGTCGCGATGGCTCTATTTTTTCAAGGGATTTCCATGTGATATTGGCACGACGCTGACACTCCTAATGCAGTTCCGAACACTTGCTTATGGAAAGATCCTTTAAAAGTATTTGTCGCTCAGATGGTAATGAAAAGACGGCACTGATCATCGACCTCGCACAGGGTGCGTGTAGGCAGAGAGTCGCCGTTTTTCAATCATTGCAGCGTAGCTTACTGGTATGCGCGCGAACATAATACTTGACGTCAAACGTGACCGTGATGCCCTCGTTTTCTAGGCTCATATTTCTGGTCTTGTCAACAAAGTCAGTGGAGACGTTTACGTACGTGGGCGTTCGTCCTGCGAGAGGGCGGAGCACACTATGAAGATAGCCAGAAAAACCGTGCGATGGGGAGTGCCCGTAGTCTACAATCGGCCGCAGCGGGACGTTAGGTTTGTGAACCTAACACATATAGGCGTGCGCAGGGTTCGCCTTCAGGGCGGGAAAGCCGAAGGTCTATCGTAGAACCCCCTCCCGATTACGTCTGTGTATGGGGAATACATTGCGCCCCGCTCTCCCATCATATGTGACCCGCGGGGAGGGCTGCCGCCCCCCCCCCCCAGCCCCTTCGTGTGCACGCCTATGTTTAGGCAGGCCGTATATTGCAGTAGCCGAGCAAGCATGACAGAGCAACCTGTTATACAGATGTCTCTTTTCAGGTGGCACAATATTGAACACGTCAGTCAGTAGCTTTTGAAACTCTCACTCGATCTTCATTGTAGGGTCCTGGTCGACCTTCGAATACGTAGATCTGTCCTGGAGATGTTCCGTCATTTTTGAAACACGTAGTTGCCGCAGATGCATAACAAATGTGTCATTCCCCTTATCTTTAAGCAAGATAACAACCACTTGATCATTCCACAGTATGTTCGTGGCTTCTGTCAAGAACGCTCATACTTGAGGCCCTACCATTGCGATGTTTTGAAAAGAGCCCCAAGAGGATGGGTATGTGCTTCACATTGCAGAGCCGGCTGTACTTGACGTGTGACCTCTTCAACCGAACACATTATCTTCCGTAACCCGTGTTTAAGTTTATGCCGCAAGCACCGTTATTGAAGCCTCTTACAGTTACGAAACTACTAGGCGTATTCGGTTGGCCGCTCTGGTCCTCAGGCTCAGAGTCGCCAGATGCAGCGGCCGCTCGCAATCCGAGCGCGAGAGGCAGCGTACCAACCGAATACATCGGCGATGTTCGGAGCAGCACGCCTGTAGCGCCACCGTGCAGCGAGCGCGGAAAGCCGCCGGGTAAACATTTCTGCGCTGCATCGACAAATGGCGCCGGTCAGTTGAGTGGCGATCTCCGACATGTCTGGACGCAGTGACAGCCGTCTGAGCCAAGCACAGTCCCTCATGCTGACAATGTATGACGGTAAGTTAAGTAAAAACAACTTGCGAATGAACCTATCTTTTGCGAGTGACTCGAGCTGTAATGCAGCCCCTTCGCGCGTAGTTCATGAAGTTGTGGAGTTCTGTACCGGCGCCTACGTATTTAACCACGTGCATGTTTTGTTAACGTCAAATTGAGACAAAAACGCGTGCGCTGGTTTTTTAACACTCCTTTAACTTGCTGTTTCAAGCTACGGCGGTTCATTCATTTCACATATTGAATCCCGACAATTTAGACTCAGCCGCATAGTTGAGAGCCAACATTGCCTTTAGAGAATAGATTCGTTGCGACATGACATGATTATCTCGAGAAATAAGCACATAGCAGTCATGAGTACTGTAGACAGACATTACTGCTGCTGCATTGTTTAAATCGCTCAAGTTAGAATTCAACTTCGTCATTTACGCGGTTGATGAACCTGCCATTTCAATTGCCTGCATACGCACAGCTGAATGCGTCCTGTGCAGCAATATGCGCTTTTGCATATAACCGCTTGTAACAGCTATAAAAGTCGTATTAATGAATTTTATTGTTTTTCGTAGGTAACGAGCCAAGCCCAGTCTCGCCTGTGGACGCAGGCAATGCAGATAGCTTGGGTACTCCTTGCATGAGTAAGTATAACCCTCGCTGCTACGTTTTTTTTTTTTTTCCAGTTGTCATTGTGGTAGACTGTCTTCAATCAGGCGGGCCTTGACTTCAGTGTTTACTGCCGCCTTGCTCATATATTTATTTTAATGCAGCAGTGTCATCAAAAATATCTTTGTGTGGCTATTCAAATCACTGGTTTTTCCTATTACACAAAATTTGAAAATTTGCAGAAATGTCTGCGGTAGTCCAACCCTCTATTTCTTTGGCCTTTACTGCAGTCTTGCATGTACACCTTTTTTTTTTGCTTACAATAACGCTGCAGTGACCTCAAAAAAAAAATAAACTTGCAGGGCCATTAAAACTTTACTTTTTCTTGCTGGTATACGAAAGCTGAATGTCACTTGTGCTATAACTAAGCATTTATTTTTTTCCAATGTAAACAGGACCATGGGGTGAATGAGAGACTAGGCTTTTATTAACACTCTATCCGCAATATTCAAGCAAGGTTGGCCTGATGAAAAAATTTCGGAGCAAGCGGGACATGTATGAATACATTTCAAAAGAAATACTTCCAATGCTTGGAATCTGCAGAACCGCCACACAGTGTGAGTCGCATTTCAAGACCATAGCAAAAAAAAAAAAACTGAAGACACAAACAACAAGACATCCGGCCATACTCGCTGCCAAGTGTCTTATGAAGAAGAGATTGCCCAAATAAGGGCTGCAGACGATAGTATTGAGTCTGAAGTTCTCCGCGGTGTGCATTCTGTGACCTACAAGAGTGTACCCAAGCCAGTTGATGAAGCCAGCACATCTACCAGTGAAACTGCAGCATCTGAAAGTACCGACCACGATAGCTCCGAACTTCTTGACTCCGCTTGCGAGGCAGCAGAGGAAGCAGGCCATGAATGAAGAAAAAGAATGAAAAACAATGAAACTGGTCATCCTAGTGGTGGTAGCCGAATGATGCATATGCAGTATTTTTTTAAAAGAATGGAAAAGATCGACAAAGAACGAGAAGCGAAAAGAGACTAAAGAGAAAAAAGAAGAGAGGAACGGCACCTTGAACTAATTAAACTACACAAGGAGCACATTGACGCACTAAAAGGCCTAGCTACAAAGGCAGGCACATAAACCACACCACACCCTGTGCACAAATCTTTATATGCACATCAAGCTCTTCCATGAAACTTAGTTTTGGCATTATATCAACTTGTCTTTGGTTCCTGCTTCCATCACTCCCTATAGCTGCTGCATCAAAGCGTTTCTTTTCAGTTCGCCTAGAAGGCGCAGCACACTTTCGCAGTCAGTCTGTGGCTGCTTGTTTTGGTAGACCTCGGCGCGTTGCTCTCTGATCTGTAGTAGTGCATCTTGTCTTATTTCTTTTCTCTCTTCTTCAGTCAATAGGTCCTCCACACAAGTGTCACCACTGTCCAGGCATATGTCGTTTAGCACACAGCATGCTATTATAAACTGTGTGATCTTCTCCACTTTGGTAAACTCAATGTATCGAAGCTGGCCAAACCTCTGCTTCAATAAAGCAAGAGCAATTTCTATCACCACCCTTGTAGATGAAAGCCGATAATTGAACCTGCTTTTTTCTTGTGTCATGTGTCCGTAATTTTTAAATGGCGTAAGCAGGTGCTCCCTAATAGCATATGCAGCATCTCCAAGGACTGTGATACTTCTTCACCTGGCAAAGTGCGGGCAAGTCTTGTTGTATACTTGATAAGCTCAGCACACGGGAGTCTTGTACCTTGCTTGGTGGTCCAGTAAAAACGCCTTGAAATCTACCTTTGCTACCGCCGATTCCCTGCATTGTCATCGGCACCTCGTCGTGTCTGTTTATATATGTAGAGCTAACTTTATTCGCCAGGCAGCGCATCAGAATGTAGGTCCCGTCGATGCATCATATAACACCTGGGAATCCTGCTAGCTGAAAAGAGAGTAAGCAATTCCTAAGTCAGAATTAACTGTATACGCAAAGGCTAGAAAAATGCGCAAGTACACTCCAGTTTGCAGCATTCAGTCGAATAAGTGGAAATTATTAGGCGTGATCAGCCAAGCCATGATTCCATTTTGTGTATACATGATTTTCCAAGAATAAGCATGCAGTACCTTCTAATATATTGATCTCAGTGACATAAACATAATGTCGAAGTTCAAAAGGACTGCTTCTTCATGTTTGTTTTATTATTCCTCGACAATATGCATGACTGTGCCTAAAAATAATGTAAGACAATATACAAACTCAATTTCTCGAAATCCCTGGCCAATGCATCTTTGTCTAGTCCAAAGTGTATGACATCTGGAGCAATCTTGCACAGAAAGCCAAGAACTCTATCAGTCACAGCGAACTGACTCGACTCGGCCATGTCAAAGATGACCGCAACATCTTTAATTTAGGCCTTGTTGACAGCATACCTATAAATATTGTACAGGTTATAAATTTATTTGCGTCATAACAAGAAGATGCAAGAAAATACATGCAACTGCATAATGTTGCGTGTAAACCAAGACTTGAACCCAATAATGTGACAGCTGAAATGCAACTAATTGAAGCTTCATGCGGAAGTCACTACATCATTGCACACGTAATGTTTGTGAGTGCTCTGCATGGGCCTCTAATTGGCCATTTATTACTATATCTGTAGTATTTGTCGCTTGGTAATATGACGAGTATTCATTTGTGCTATATTGTGCGCCAAGATGAAATGAAACAGCACGTGTTTGTGTAACCCCTTAAAGTGAACCAACATTACAGAAACCACAACGTTAATAAGGTCGTGCACACGTCGAAAGCGTAGTTGGCCTCAAGCTGGAAATGTCTGTTATTCTCCTTGCTAATCAACATACACAGGAAAGGCTATATTGCGCTTCGGAATTTCATGTTTTCTGCTAAATAAAAGGTGGAGGGGGGACGACGTGTTTGTAGTCATTTTTGTTGAGGCTGAACACGAGGTACGGCCTCAAGGTTGTGAACACCTTTTCTTAGCATTTCTGGAAGCCGACGAAAAACGCTGTTCCTGTAATGCACTTTTTGAAAAAGATAGTGGAAGCACTAAGCAGCATGACTCCTTGAAAAAAACCCTCCAATAATTAACTCAAGGGATGATTAGGAACCTTTTTCACGGCGAGTTTTGACACATCTGATCGTAATAGAGAAGGAAAATTTGACAGAAGCCTGGCATCTATGTTGACAGTTAAACTACACGGCATGTCGTACACTGAAGATTGAAGCAACGCGTGTGGCATGTAGCTGACAGAAAATGTAACTTGCTCACCAGAGGAATGAGAAAATGTGCTCCTCGGGCGTTTTTTTTTTTTTGGGAGGGGGGGGGGGGCACACCGCCATGGTTTCTGTCGGACGGGTAAAATTCCGATGCCTCAAACTGTTTGATGAGCTCCTAACACGCTGAACGAGCCAGGTGGAAGTTGGTGCGAAACTGTAAACTGGAGATAACATTACGTGCTGTCATGTTTTCCATGCGACCCGACCTTACCTGTTTATCGGAATAATTGTCGACAACGTTCCTAACGTATTCTTGGACTTTTGGAACAACAATGGTCTTGGCGAACAACTCGGCGAACTTGCTAGCATAAACCTGGCGATCGTCGTCGTCGTCATCCGAACTGCTAGCGTCAAGGCATTCGTCTGTGAGCTGCTGTAACAACAGCATTGATGTTTCCTCTGCCTTCATTAGCCGCCTCCTTTTTGACATGGTGTCCTTACGGCGTCGTAGACGCGAACTCGCCACGCAAATACACGCCACGAACAACACCGGCGATGGCCCCTTCCAGAATGTGCGCTCGCGCTGTCACCTGCCGGCAACCAAGAGCTTGTGTCACGTGATCCGTCCTCTCAGCCAGATCGTGCCACGCTCTCACTTCGAAGTCAGAGCGGTCGGGAGCGCTCTGAGTCAGAGTGTGACGCTGCCGAAAAAAACCAATCAAAGGCAGTTCGAGCGCTCGGATTTCACCAACTGAAGGCGCGGTTGCTTTTCAGAGCACTCTAAAGCGCTTGAAATATCCCAACCGAATACGCCTTACGTCGTCCCGCTATAAGGTCGAGCTTTATACGCTGCTCGCAAATGCCGCAACGCGGCGCTGCGATGCCACAAAGGTGATCGTCCACGCCGTCCTTGTATTATTAGGGCTCCCCGAGTGCGAGAAAAGGTGCTCGATATGATACACTCTAAGGCAAAATTACTCGAAAAAAGAGTAACGGAGCCCAATAGGCGCACATGCTGAACGGATAGATCAGTTGAGAAGCAATCACAGAGGTAAGCGTGTGGCGCAAAACGACTTACTCTCCACTAGAGATGAAACGCCCGGGCATTGGAGGCAGCGCGAAAAGCGTTGCCTTGGGGACCAGCCCTTCTTCTCCACAGAACACATGTCCTTCTCCTCCTCTGTTGGCTCAGTCTTTCCCCGTATTTTGCCGGCGGCGGTAGCGTAGCGTCGCACTCGAGATGCTCGACCACAGCCGCCTGGATTCGATGATCTAAGAATTACGCAGTGGTGCTTGTGTGGTGCCTGGATGAGCGTGGGCTGCTGCTTTAGCGTTTCGCTGCAGCCATGAAGTCTGGAGCAAGCCTCGACAGGTCACCACGCCGCGCTGTATATCTCTGGCTTCAAGATAGTCACGACCAACACACGACAGGAACAGTTTGAAAGGTGGCATGGTTCCTTTTGGCGTTGCATAAGTGGTTGCCAGGCTGGGAGGGTCAGTGTTGCCGGAATGTCGCTAAATTTGACTGCAAACGTTTTTGTAATTGTGGTTTTTTTGTGAGAATTTGGCGACATCCGCGGTGCATTTCGCGAACGAGCGACGCTGGCCGTTTTATTTACGGAATGAACCACGCCTAGCATTAGTCAAGCGTGGCGCTGCCGTGCAATTAAGAGGCCGTTTTAATTAACGGAATGAACCGCGTCTAGCAGGAGTCGAGCGCGGTTCGACAAAGCAGCCTTCCAGGCGTACATAGCTGTAGCATATCCGATGTACTGTAATGCGTGGTTCATTCCGTTAATTAAAACGTAATTAAAACGGGCTCCTAATTGCACGGCAGCACCACGCTCGACTTCTGCTAGGCTCGGATCATTCTGTTAATTAAAACAGCCAGCGCCGCTCATGCACTCACGAAATGCACCACGGATGGCACTTTCAAAAAAGCCACAACTACAGAAGAAAATTTTTCAGCCAAATTTAGCAGCAGTTTGGCAACAAACACCCCAAAGTCTGGCAACTGATTTATGCAACGCCAAAAGGAACCTTGCCCGGAAGGCCATTATGGCGGCCGAGAAGAACAGGCCTATCGGATATATACTTTAGCCCGACTCAGGGCAGAAACGGCGCTGGATACTAAGGCAAGTAGGTTATCATTCTTTATTCTACTTTACTTGTAGCGTGTGCGATACGGATCGCGCTTGCCGGCATCGGGCTGAGTCGTGTTGTATATCGCACGCACGAAATTCATCGCGAAGGTCAGCTTCGGCGTCTGCAAGTCGCCTGTGTTTTTCGACCGCCTGGAAATTGGCCGCCATTGCCGTCGGCCTTGCGAACGCTCGCTCATCGAGGGCTCGCCTGTCTTCGCCGTCACGATGAGCTTCTAGCTGACGATATTGCGCTGAGACCTCGTCGCTTTGCTGGAAGTCGTCGAAAACACGTTGCGGGTTCTCGTAAAGAGCTTGGTTGTAGTATGTCGCGCGCTGTAAGTGCACCAGCACGGGCTGGCGGGGCTTTCGCTAGCGTCGGTACTCACTGAAAGTTGGTCGCCATTACAGTTGGCTTTCCCGCCAGTCTGTCGCAAGCAGCTCAGCAGCCGTCCATTGGCCGCGGCGGCGGACTCTCGTTTGCGCGCTACACTCAGCTCGAGTTTGTGGAAAAGGGCCGCATTACCGTCAATTTTTTCGGCGCTAGCTCCAAACCAGCTCGGCGCTGTTCGTGGCAGGGGCCAAGCGTACGCTCGCTCTCCTGTTCGAAGTTCGCTGGCGGCAGACACTCCGCGTGCAGCACCGCGTTTGGTCTCGCGTTCGCTTGCTCGAGCTGAACGACGTCGCTCGCTTAGGACTCACCGACTTGTTAGCTGGCAGGGTAGTTCGCTGAGTTGTGACTGCGGCCGCCGCTCCTAAACTGTTGCGCTACGGGGATCGAAAGGAGTCTTTGACGATATATGATATCACGGTGTAATTATTACCATGTCATATCTCACATATATTTTCATTTCACCTTGCACGTATTTCTGATATGCATTTGTATTCATCCTCTGTCACGTGTGACTCACTATTTTACATACTTATTGTGTAGCCATGGGCACACACTGTGCTGAATACTGCGCTGTCGTCTGCGATGCCCGTCATCCATCTCTTTTGTCAGAGCAGCTTCAGAAGGACTGTGCGAGATGAGAAGGTAAAGTTATTTGTGTGTCATATTTTAACGCTTGTTTTTATATTAACGTGCACGTACTTGTCATATACGTGCATCCTCATCTTCTGTGACGTGTGCCTAACTATTTTTACTATAATATTGTACGTGCAGCCGTGGGAACACAACAGTCAGAAGGCTGCGTGCGCTGGCGTCTGCAATGTCTGTCATCTATCGCTTTCGTCGGAGGAGCTCCCCAAGGAGTGAACAAGATTTGGCAACGCGACTGGACTTGTACACTTCACCATGAATTCACTTAAAAAGAATGGGGAACTTCATGTGCATGTAGAATAATAAAAGGTTTCCATGTCTCACTTTTGTCTTTTGCTGTTGCCGTGACTGTGAAAGCAGTTACACATAGGTGGCTAACTTCTTATTTTGCGTGTTCTTTTCTGCAGAATTGATTGTGTCTTTATTGTGTTGACCTGTTAAGATGCAGCCAGAATTATTGATACACGGCTGACAGTTCAACAAATTGAGAGTTATACGGCGGGCGAGCGCGCGCGTAAAACTGCGTATTTTATCCTCTGTTTGCAAGTGGCACCACTTTCACTTAGCTGCGAATGAACAGTGTTGAACTTCATGGGAATAATAAAAAGCTGAACCTATTGTAGTGTGGTAGCGTTCAGACGAAAGCAGTTTGCCTGTTCGACGGCGACCGAAACCCACCATCACTGCACTCATGATTATAGGTGCGTGTAAAGTGACCCTAGATGACAAAAACCATTTGGAAGTTTCTCGCTACGGCGTTCGTAATAATATCTTGCACTTGTTTGTAAACATCCGAATTGTCATGTTATTTCGGCTGCTATAACCCTGAGCTTTATGGTTTGAGCTTCTTGTTTATTTATTTCCTGGTGTCCATTTTAAAACATAAAAAAATTCATGCCCGTATTTATGCATACTGAGTGCTACAGATATATAATTGAAAGCAATGATTGATTTGTGGGGTTTAATCGTCCCAAAACCACCATATGAGAGACGCCGTAGTGTAGGGCTGCGGAAATTTCGACCACCTGGGGTTCTTTATAACGTGCGCCCAAATCTCTGCACACGGGCCTACAACATTTCCGCCTCCATCGGAAATACAGCCGCCGCAGCCGGGAATCGAACCCGCGACCTGCGGGTCAGCAGCCGAGTACCTTAGCCACTAGACCACCACTGGCGGGGCTATAAATGAAAGCAAAGTGACTGTCGAGGAAGCTTAGAAAGCTGAAACACCGAGGCTGTCTCAAACACAACATCAGCGATAACAGCGTTCCCATCGCCTCCCAAGTGGCGGCCGCTGGCCGCATTTGCAACTCAGGCAGCAGTTTCCTGCTCCGACTTGAAGATGAAGCTCGGCTGCATCAAGGGGGCGTGACGACAGGTTGCAAGCAATCGCTTCGGTTTCAGGTGGCTGACATTTCTTCAGCAAAGACAATATTTGTTCTATTACTGTGTTTCAAGCACGTAATAAAAAAAGGCGAACTGACTGCGTTGCAGGAAAACACTGAGATGAAATACATATTAAGTTCGGGCAACCAATACTTATTAACAATATTTCGCTCAATTTACAGTAACATGATTTATACCACTTATAAATTATTTAGATCCGGACAAATATCTCCGAAACTTTTGCGGGGAACTTTTCATATACTTTATGAATGTTCGAGATACGAAATGCTTTTTATATCCCTTTAATTTGACTAGAACAAGTTCTAGTAAGATTGGTAATCACGTAAGTATTTCTTGGGTTTTTCAGCCTGACATGGCGTTCAGTCCCCGTTTAAAGTGATGTTGCGATTCAAGCAGAGATTATATTTCTGCCAGCGTTTCAGCTGCGTTGACACAAAAATTGATAAATATTTATTTACAACTGCCTTGAAATACTTACAAATGGTAAAAAATCTGTTCTTTAGCCTAAACATGTATCTTACCTTTTCTTTTTGCTTACGGTAGTAGGTTTTACGCTGCTCTTGTTGTTGAAGATTGATACACTACACTGGTGTGACTTAATACCTCTTTATTGTTGAATGTATATGTCAAAGACAATGTCTTTCACGCGACAAGACTCATCGCTGGCACTTCTTCGTCACCACCCCTAATTTTCTATAAGCTCCTTCTCCGCCTTTAATTTTTATTTGCAGTTCCCGAAAGGTCATTCAATGCCATCAACACTGCTCGCCCGTTCGTGCCAGTTCCTACGACCACAAGAAGGCGTATTTTCGGTAAGTGTCTCTTAAACAAAAATAAAATTGTTATTGTAGGCAATGAAATATGTTACGCTATACCGACTTCCCACTGTCTTGCTGCGTGCGACTACGTTGTAACAGTGATACATTGTCACGCAGAATTTTGACGGTACTTCGGATAGCAGTGAAAGTTGCAGTTCACCCGAATAACAGTAACAGCTGTCCCTTTCATGTCTTTTCTTCCCTTCTTTTGTGATGCCTGTGCAGGTACAGTTTAGCGTTTTCTGTTCGTAGTATGAAGCCGGAGACCACTCGGTTGCAAGTCTGTTGCATCAGATACTGCAGCAGTAGGCCGAACAATCACTCCGCGAAGCCACGCAGATTCCCTATTGTATGTGTACTTGAGAGTATTGCGAAAGTTTGTACACGTTACGGCGTACAAACGAGAATGCATAGCACCCGCTAAGTGGCCCATAGCAGTGCGAACTATCAGTAAGGATATTCGCAATGCCCACGGACTAGAGGTGCTGCGCAGTGTTATCGAAGATGGAGGAGGGAGGAGGTTAAACCGACGAACTCGCATAGGAAAAGGTAGGATGCACAGACGTGCGCCCCTTGCCACTTTCTCCGGCCGAACTCTTGATCGTCAAATATATGTAAATCAAACTAGAATACTTTGCTACACGGCAGGAACTTCTAAATGTTTGCTACCTCATTTTTGTCGCTGTGCGACGGGTGGTGGTGTCAGCTGATTGACCGTGTATCAACGATGCCTTGCGTAACCCTTCACGTGCTGCAGAACATTGCGCGGCCTAGAATTGACGTATGAACTAAAGGCACTCCGAGAACATCGGAATCGAGCCTGCCTGGCTCGTTTGCCGCAGTAGTGGGCCACTAGCGAGAAGCGCGCCATCGGCGGCTGCACGGGACCAATTGTTTAACGTGGTGATGGTTTCCAAATATATTACGCCATCGTCATTCTTTGCGCTGCCAAGAGCATGGAGTAGCTTCTTGAACGGAACATAAGAATTTAGCATCACATTAAGCAGTGCTTGTGTCACAGTCGCGCTCAGACACTAACCGTGATCTGTTGCAGATTTTTTCAGAGCGATCGAGACAAGAATATCGAAAAGAATACACAAGTATGCTTTTCGCAACGTCAGAATTGCGACAATTCGTCAAGCAAGAACGTCGTTCGAAAGGTACCGGTGAAGTGCAGGAGAAGCAGAGAGCCGTGGATTGCAGAGTAACTGCACGTTTCAGCGCTCTAACCATTTCGCCTCACTGGTCAAGCGTGTTGGTGGCATGCAGGCGTTTCATAATATCCACTGTAACTGAGCTACATGCAATGCACAGGAAAACTTACCTCACTCAAAGATGTTATACATTTAATAGAAAGTGACTTACAAGCGTGAAAAAACCTTGTAATATGAGGGGACGTCAAGTGCAACTCGCTACTTGTGAGTTAGCAGCTGGTCGTTCATCCTCCCTGTCACTCTCGGTGCCTCGACAACTTTCTACGTCCAGTGAAAAATCCCCATCGTCACAATGGTTTCTTTGAACATCACTGTTGAAAGCAATCTGAGGAATTCCCTACGCCAAACGACATTGACAGCATCAACACCACGTCACTCACCCCGTTTATCTGGGCGCGAAGAAGTAGTAGTAGTAAACAACATTATTAAGGCAGCTGACTGTTTCCTAAGTTGCGAGGGCTGTCAGGCCATGCCAGGTCGCCACCTCGTCAGCACGTCTGATGGCCCGGAGCTGGCTGTTCAGGCTTGTAGTCGTGAGGATTCTCTCCCAGGCCTCACTGGAAGGTGACTGTCCTAGGAGGTTTGGTGGGGGAGGGCCCTTGCTGCATCCTCAGATGATGTGGTTCAAGGTTGCGGTCTGCGTCTTGCAAAGGGTGCACGCAGATGTGAATAAGGCTGGGTATACGTGTCTGTACGGATAGAGAATGAGTTCACTTGAAGCCACCGCCAAGTGATTTGTAGAGCTTTGTTTAGTTGCGGGTGAGGGAATGATCTGGTTTGCTCTAGTTTGTAGTACTGCGCGATGTCGTGAAAGGTGATTAGTAATTCGGATGCTTAGGTATCATGTCCCGACGTCTGGCCCACCGCTCGGCGTAAGAGTACATTTCACTTGAAATGCCGCTCACAAGCAAATTGCTTGCAGTGTGCTGCCATATATCAGCATACGCACAAAAAAGGAGCGCAGCGTTGTCCATGTTTTTTTTAGAAAAAATCACGAGCTCGCACGACACTCCGATTACAATGAATGTTGCAGCGTTCATACGCTACAAAAGCTCTGACGAATGATTTGCGTGCGTAAAACACGGTGAGTTTGAACTGCAGAGGTCTGACGATAACATTTACTGCATACATGGCTACGAAAAATCTCGCGAGGCTGACATGAATAATCTACGGGCTAAAATAGAAAGCGTGAATTGCCACATTTTTTTCTTCACGAAAGCTTCAGGTCGTGCAAGAATTAATGAGATTTATCATGTATGGGACGGTCCGGTTCAAATTCACTGTTGCACGAAACATGCAAAGTGGTTAGCGTTCGTTTTCTTTTTTTTTTTGCCAGCTTGTTATCATTGAGGCTAGCACAGCCCAACAAGGGAGCCTCTGCCTACTGACCATACTCGAGAGTACGCCCCTGAATTGCGCTAGGCGGCGCGACAGTTTATGGCAGTGCGAATACATTGTCACGAAACAACTTCGTTTAGAGAACACGTGTACATGAAAGTCTGGGCAAACGAGAGGAATATATGTGGCAATGTAAAGGAAAAGGCTGCAACCGCAATAGGAAAGAGGAATGGCGCACTAGTCATGCGCATAGCGTTGTGGATGCTATAAGTGCGAGGTGACCTGACATCTGTTGAAGGCTGCGGTACTTCCAGCGCCCATATTCAGAAACTAAGTGGTGTACTCAAAATCAGGTGTTAAATCTAGACAGTGCGGGAATCAAAGGAAAGAGGGGGAGGGGAGATGTCTCGAATCGAGCGCTCAAGAGGAGACTTCAAATGAGTTTATAATTGGCTATGTGGATTGAGCATTCTGTGATCCGAGAGAAGCTCACATTAAAATTATTGCAGTTTGGTACAAAGAGAGATGAAAAAATATGAGAGACAGTGAATTTGGATAAAATAGTCCGCTGTTTGCGTTGGTAGAACGCTGGTTCACAGACAACAAAAAAGAAACAGGAAGTTTGCCATTCAGCATACGGCCGGCACTGTAAGCGATCGGGCAGCAAAGCATAAAAGTGGTACTGACCCGCAATCGGTACTGGCCCGAAATTTCGCAATTCTCATTTTCTGCACCTAATGCAGGACTACGCCCTCAATGACATACGTATGTGCTAGCAAGCTTGAGTGTGCTCTGAAAAACTGATCACAACTTTTTTATTACATCCAGTCATCGCTTCCTACTTTACCACGGTGACACTAGACAGCGTAAACGTCTGGTCACATTCTCCTGCGAGATATCGTCACTTTGCTGAGAGAGAGAAAGACGTGACGGCGGCAGACTTGGCCGTGTTCTCCTCACTAATTGATTAGACGGCAGCAGCCATAGCGGAGTGGCGCGGCTGCCGCGTCTTGCCAAGCCAAGATCGTCAGCCCGTTCTCCACTAGCCCGCACATTGACCTCTCGGTGAGAGTTACCTGAGAGGTCCATTGCGGAGGAGAGAAATGATGATTTCGATGATCAGAGATACGGACGCTTGAGTCACAATTACATGGCTGCTCCATTGTGCGCAATCAACGCTAGAGGAAATTTTGTCTCAGCACTCTTACTGCAACAACTGTTTGGGCAGAGTATGAGATGTGATAATTTTCGATCCTGTGCACCATTTCGCATTTTGACAAGCGCCATAGTGAAAGCAAACCTGACTGCGATAACGCCATGCAGAAATGCTTGAGCGTCGGAAACAGTGGTGAGCATTCGTGTGTACGCACGACGATATCACGCACTATTTCGTTCGCTCGCTTCACGAGGTCACTGAAATACGGCGACCACATGACAAGAGCAGACGATCGAGAAAGTCACGTGAGAGTGGCCATTTTGTATGTTTTTATACCTCACCACTAGCCATATTACGGCGTGAAGTCACTCAGTGTCCATTTCTGAAGATATGCCACGCGACAAAAATGACTTTGTTTCAGAATAAAATACAACTTCCTCACCTCCAGAATCAGTTATTCTTCTTTCTGCATAAACTTATGTATATCAGTATAAATGCAACTTCGAAAAGCAGTGTCAGTACTCCTCTAAGTTCCATGCCAGATTCACAGAGCAGATTCATTGCATAGCAGGGAATAAAAAATTATACCTCGTATAATAGACAGTAGCAAGAGGTGGAAAAAAATTAGAACTTGAAGAGGGAAGCATTCTTCGACAATTCAGAAGGAAGCGTTGTGAGGTTTTAAATAATGTTTGGGTTGCCTCGTTACGCATATAAGACTAAAGCGAGATTTTGAGAAGGGGGCTAATGAACTTGCGGTGAGAAAGCGAGGAAAAACGACAAGCGTGTTTTAACTGGATATGAAGATCTGCGCCTTTAGGTATCTTTGAACAATAAGTTGCATGAAGGCTTCTGTTTTAGAGGACGGTGCTTGAAGATGAACAGGTCCGCGTTCATCATAAAGTTCAATAAAATTCACACCATATTTCTAAAATGACATGCGAAGCAGCATGCTGGCGCATGGGTGGCGTCACGGGTTGAACAGTGCCAACGTACGTGCTGCGATGAGCGCTGGAAGATTCGCAAGCGGCGGTCGCGGTAGCGGAGCGAGCCGTGGTAGCGGAAGGTGTTGCGAGCGAACGGACAAGGTGCCTGCTGCGGGTGCTGCTGTGAGTGCGTGGCACATGAGGATCAAAATGACGACAACGTGGACTGCGAGGAGACCGTGACGTACACTCACAGCTGTGGCATGACCAACGTGGCACCGCTTAAACACCTGCGTTGAGGGGAGCACGTTGCGGCGTGTTCATACGGAGGGACAGCGTTACAGAGGCTTCTCAAAGAGCTGCTTCAAATCTAGTAAATTATACAGAAAAAAAAACAGTATACGGATCCGTGACGGGAAAGCAGAAAGGACAAGCTCAAAATAACACAGAAACCAGAGTTACCTTACACCGCGAACCTAAGAAGTTACCCTTTGATGTTAATTTTTTTTTCAGGAAGATAAGTGTTTAGTTCAGGCAGGAAAGGCTCAAATCATTACAGAGCTTAACGACTGTCAGATTTCCGCCAGTTCAAAGGAATGCTCATTGCACCCATACACCCTTACGTAATGATGCTCGAAGTGCACAAGGGCCCATTGTTGTTGCCGTTAGCCTGGCCTAGACGTCAAAGCTAGCACATAAAAGTGTGATCCGTCGCCGCCTCCGTCGCGCGGCGTTCCCGTAGCACACACTGACGATATTGGAGTCCGGCTAAACGCCAGTTGCAGTGAGTTGGTTCTTTCGCAACGCCATTCCTCGAGGCAGATCAGTGAAGAGCCCTCACATGCGGTATTCATCCCTCGGAAAGGCTAAGACACGTTTCTTCGGTCTTGTGTGAATATCTGCTCAAGCGGATGATGCTACGAGCGGAAACAAGGATATTGGCGTATGCGAGGTGCAATCTGACTCGGCGATTTCACGACGTTTACTTACGTTGGTTTCGTCTGGACACACTGTCTTCAGTGTGATAGAGTAGGTGGCACGTGTAAATGTTTGTCCAAAAGGTGCCTGATAACTTTTTATACTGCCGATCTTAGCGGAAAATACCTTCCTCTGAGGCATTCGCAGCAGCTTTGCTTTGTGCGAGGCAACACAGAAAAAGTGTAAAAGAAGGAACTTTGGCTGAGGTGTGCTACTTTCGTTATACTCGAAAGCTATGGAAGTAAGGATATATCCTACCCGAAGGTCATTATGTTACAAACAGGTAAAAACATAGACATAGCAAAAGTTGAGGTAAGCAATACGATAACCGGTATTTAAAAATGATCTAGAGGAAGATTTCCAGCATGCAATATAATGAAAAAATGCAGCAAACTAGCTGAACAAAGCTGAACACATTTTCACGCACATGTTTCTTTACTTAATATGCGGCATAAAGCCAACCTATACGAGCAAGTGAGAACTAACCTTGCTTTCTGCCATTTGAGCCTATAGCTGTATGATACTGTTTTTGTGAACATAGTATCCGACACAACCATAGAAATTCTATAGCAAAAATAATTCGGGTCAATGACACTTAAAGTAACAAAAATATTTTTACGCATTTTCTGCTTCTTATTTTACTTTCTTATTTTTCAGTAACCAGAACTCTGCAACGAGCGCTACTTATAACAGGCCTCAATGAATGTTTTCATACGGCTGCTGTGATAACGCGTGGCATCACATCGCATCCTTAAACACAGAGCTCTGCATACTTTCTACAATTTCCTTGTGTAATAGATCTTACGACTCCTTAGACAGAGGTACACTGTTTGAGTGTTAACAGATCATACAATTTTCGTCTTTCAGTTTCAGTTCACACCAGTGTAAAGAAGAACTAATGACACATGGTCCCTTATTACTGGATTGCATGTGAAAAAATGCTGGCAAGAGCCAGTTGTATGCAGATTATACTTGTTTTCCTATTTGCCTATTTTTATTCTTGGCACCGCGTTCTCACCTAGTTTTGTGAAATTAACTGCAGTTCATCAAGAGATTTACATGTCGATATGCACAGCGCCAAGAGCGTGTGTATAAAGAAAGGAAGGGGACGAGATCATCGCTTAACTCTTTGTGAGTCAGTGGCCTGTAAATATTGCCCTGCTCTAGACACTCAAGGTATACCTACAATGCAATGCTTCCAGTACGTTAAACAACCATTCACATAGCACCTGTTTATTCTCAGTCTTATTTGGACAAGTGAAATACAGTAAAACCTCTTTATTAGAGGCATGCTCAAGGCAGCAATTCTTGTCTTTTATATGAGATGTCTCTTATAAGCAGGGCATCTCGTATGTATTTTCCTATCTCCCGTATTTTACTGGCGCCATTCTAAAGGCTCTCACACACATTTGTTTCTTATATCAGTGTCTTTTATAAAGGGGTATGACTGTATAAAATATCCCACCAACACGTCTGCGGGAGCACGAACTCGACTAATGTGCTGTACATTGTTTGCTTTGAAAATATGTTGCGTCAAATCTTTGCCCCGCTACCCAACACTTCAATTATCTACTTCAGATTGCCATCTCCCTTCGCCATTAATGTAGTGCTCATGCTTCCTCATATCCTTTACTTTACGGCACATTCAAAATTTTCGCATGTGATTTTCGCAACCAACGTATATCAGCCTGCTTGTTTTTTCAGCTGGATGATTATCCTAATACATGATGACAGCAATACGCGTCAGCGCTTTTCTTTCTACATGAACCATTTAAAAGTCTGTTCTACTATATGCGTGATTATTCACAGCGTCTCTTTTTTTCAGTACCAGCCAGTGCACTGAGTTCTGGAACGCTACCTACCACAAGTAAGTCGTGTTCATCTTTATCGCTACATAGCAGCAGTGGTGATTATTTCTGTCGTTGACTGGCACTTAGTCACTTGCCACTCCTGGTGACGCTTTCAGCATATTTATAGCTAATGAAATGTTCTTTAAGCTCATTCATTCATTGCTTGATTGGCCTCCATCAGACCATCAAACCATGCATGCGCTGTCATGATTTGTTTTGAAAGAACTTTTGGGATTGATCAATCTTTGGACGAACACACTTGTTTTTGGAGTTCATCTCTAGAATATACGCCAGCACCACGTCTCAAAACTAGCAAATCCTTTCTTTCATACTTCCTGAAAGGTCCCCCCAAATATATGTCTTTTCGTAGTAATGGTTTGTTCTTCTTGAAATTTGGAGACGCGATGTTTTTTTCTTGCGTGTTAGAAATGCTGAAATATATTTAGTATATACCTTTTTTTTTCAATTTCAGTTGTTGTCTGGCAGCAAACATAATTGCATTCTGGCTTTCGTTGTCTCCTTCGTTAATGAAGTAGGTGACAATAACTACCCCTATACTTTCGTTGACTAACAGTGTCAGTTCGTTCTCTTGCCCCGCCGCGGAGGTCTAGTGGCTAAGGTACTCGGATGCTGACCCGCAGGTCGCGGGATCGAATACCAGCTGCGGCGGCTGCATTTTCGATTGAGAGGGAAACGCTCTAGGCCCGTGCACTCAGATTTGGGTGCATGTTAAGAAACCCCAGGTGGTTGAAATTTCGGGAGCCCTGTACTACGGCGTCTTTCATAATCGAAGCGTAGTTTAGGGATGTTAAACCTCCAAATAAATCAATCAAATCTTTTCGTTCTCAATAATAATGTGTTCACAACAAAAACGCGACCTTGAATTTTAAGTTTGCACTTTTCCCTTGTGTAAGTAAGTAGTATTTTCTAATCAAAGGCGAACCAAACCAACAACAATGCCACTTTATTCATAGAAATATGTGTATAAATCTGTGGAATGTTTCAAAAATATCACTGTATTGCAACTTCATTAAAGGTTCAGCATGGTTTGAAGGTGTGAGATAAAATAAATCAGTGCTCTCCGGCATTTTCTATTAATAATGCTCATAAAAATGAGGCGTTGTGATGCGTGCTTTTATAACAGATAAGAAATTATGTCATTGCTCTCGCATCCGAAATGGGATTAAAAGTTGTTTCTGCCACGAATATCTAAACACCTCTGCTACCATAAACACGCTATAAGCACAACGGAAAACGAAAAAGGCGCTGAAGCACCAGTAGACTAAATCTTCATTAAACGCTTGAAACATGAGAAATTACAAATTACCTGCAGCCCATCACTTGCGCCACTCGTTTCTTCTTAAAGTCTGACAAATTTAAGGGCGTCTGCTCGCTAAGAAAAAGACAATGCAGGTGACTCTCAATGAATTTATACCCCATCTCACCGCCATCAGCCAGCACAGCGAGGCTACAGGGTTTAAGCAAGCCACACGCTTGCGAAGCAAAACACAGTTCCACGTGTAATTACCTCCGAAGCGGAAGAGTTTAGACATATGCGCTCATTTGGCACTTGTTACGACATATCGGTGCGTGATACGTTTATTCTTCGCATTGATGCTGTACGTCGTCAATTGCTGAATCAGTAACCGCTCATCACTATTGTTAAAATTCGACGTGAGGGCTCGGCGCGTTTTATTCGTCAATTGCGCTGGCAGCAGCAAATAAATATTGAAATGAGAAATCGTTTTCAGCCATTTTACGGCAAAAACGAAGTATCAGGTACGTTTTGCTGTTATTCCCGGGTTGAAATGTTTGTTTAGCCATGTCTGCTGAGCCTAACGCGCAGAGCCTTGGACAATTGTTCTTGCAATTCAGCACAATATCGTCACTAATACATTTCTGTGAAAGCATCAGCACAATAATTTAAACCAAATACAAGTGTCAACTATTAACTAATCAGTCCCACCATGCGCGATGACGAATGAATAAATTCGATGGGTGCAGCCATTTTTTTTCTCTGAGATGCCATCTGTTTTCACTCAGCTCGCACTACACGTGCAAGCAGATGACAGGGAGGTGCCGAGCAGAAGACGCGACGTGGATGAATACATGAGGAGGGGCTACTTTCCTATTGGCTGAAGAGCCCATAGAGTTTCCTGAAGGCACCCTAGAGAAAACTCTAGAGCGAGTGTCTATGTAGGCTGCAATGCATACCACTTGAGTCAGCATGAGACTGCTGGGTAGTACGTGGATTTGTCTAAACTTCGCTCTTTCGGCTCCATTTAGGCTCATGCGCAGTGTTGCAAGACGAAGTGCAGCAAATGTTCAGCAGTTCCACTTTTTAATCTTACCCCTTTTATGCTCACCAATTCAAATAATCGCAGCAGCTTCACAACGATTCATTCTTTTATATGTACGAAACGCAAAAACAAAAATAAACGAAGCCACAAGTGCGTTCCAAGCGGCAAGCACGAAAATTAAGGAAATCCATATTTTAGAGTGACAGAACAGTCACTGCGCCAGAGATTTGCTTGTTAAATATTGTAAGAAACTAAATGTTGCAGTCTTAACAGTGCTGAAAGCAACTTCTGAGATGAGCTATAGGTATAGTGGCACTTTCACCTCGGCATTCGTTTTCTCTGATGCATCCCTTGAGTTTACCTCGTGTTTGGTCGTAGTCCCAAAGCGGAATCTAGAAGCCACGTAGAAACTAGCGAGTGCTTGCGATGTGCTTCGCCAGGTGCCGCAATGAAATCAGCTGCTTACAATCTTTCAAGGAACACAATCAATACAATATTCAATATGCTAGCCGTTCTTTGTTTTTTTTCATTTCAAAAGTTTGCCCAATGGTATACCTAGATGAACAAATAAATGAAGGCTGGTTTCTTAGAGTGACACATCAACAGTGCTCTGTGGTTGGGCTCAATAGAGCCACAAATCATAGCTCGGTGGTCTCGTCTGAGAGACAGAGAGAGAAACAAATTTATTTATATGAAAAAAAATGAACGCAATTTCCCGAATGGGAACACTGGTTAGCATGCGGAGCATATATGTTGAACGGCGGTAAATGTGGTTTATAATTTGTGACATGCGTGTGTGTTATGAGTGAACACTCTTCTCAGCGCGGCCTTGTCTACGGACGAAGTGTCTTCGCAATTGCATGCGGTTCCGCCAACACATTGGCTGACGCTATTGGAAGGGACGTCAGTAAGTGTGTTTGCGGATTCGTTAGCATACATTTTCACCAACAACATCGGACGTGGAGCGACCGCACAAACAAACCGATGAAGGGCGGCGTGCCCCGACATTCGGTTATTTATAGCGAGCGCCGGCCCCAGCTTGCGCATGCGCGCGTTAGCATACAGCTGGCGCACCTAAAACTAAAGGTCGCGCGGCGCGCGGAGGGGAGAAGCGAGCACAGCGCGCGCTGTGTTGAGAGGAGGAAGGGATGCACAGATGGCTGGCGGAGGAGAAGGGGACGCTGCTGGACGGCAACGGCTCATGACTAGCCCCTAGTGTAACATGCTCCGCATGGAAGAAAATTCGCAGAGGAATGGCGATCAGGCCGTGCCTGGCCGCCACCACCTCAGCTCGCTGTATTGCCCGGAGCTGTACTCCTAGGCTCGTATCTCGGGGTACTCTTTCCCATGCCTTCGACGAGGGAGTGGTCATGAGATCAGGTGGGGGTGGATCCTCGCTGCAGTCCCATTGTATATGAGAGAGGGAAGCGACGGAGCCACATTTTGAGCAATGCGGACTGGACAGATCGATAAATGTGTGCATATACCCGTGGCCACGGGAAGGAATTCTTGTGGAGGTGGTGCCACGTGATTTCTAGTGGTTTCGTGAGTCTGGAATGCAGCGTTGGTTTCGTTCGACGTGCGAGGCGATAGTGCTGAGCAATTTCGTGATAGGAATATGAGGGGCTTGCCATAGTTCTCTTGCTTCGTGGCGGGTCCCACCGCTTGGTTGACGAATTCTCAAGCTTGTCAGTGGGCGGCCTCGTTTCCCCGGGTTCCCTGCGTGCGCTGGGACCTAGATAAGAGATATGGGGGCGGATCCTCGTCTTCGAGATAGGCGAGGAACTCAAGGAGCCGTAAGATACACGGAGCTACGGTACCGCTAGCAAAATGAGAGATAGCGGTTTTCGAGTCGCGCTGAGGATCGTAGTCAACCTGGAGGACCCCACGAAAGCTATGGCCACTTTCTCGGCTTCGGCGGGGTGGAAGGCACGGACAGAGCCTGCTGCTCGCAAGATTGAGTCGGTGTTGAGGGAGGTGCGAGTAGTTATTACGCTAAGTGCGTACGCGCTTGGTTGAGATGGGTAGCAGGCCACGTCCAGGTAGGCCACATCGGCTGCGAGGCGTTAGTCGTCGTGTAATTCTTGGGCTCGTGCTCGCCGTCTACCCTCGTGGTGTCTTGCGAGCATGCTTTTCAGCCAGTGGTTTGATGAAAAAACGACGATGTAAAGTCGGAGGTATAGGGACCGGGTCTGCGCCCGATGGCGAGGCGGTGAGTCCTATGCGAGCGAGTATCCAGCGGCCAGTCTTGCTACCGCGAAGCCTCTAAATCTGTGCTATGCGATGCGCTTCGATCGCTTTGTCGACAGTGTTGTCGATGCCGAGGCTGAGGAGATGTGACGTAGAGGTCTTGCGAATGAGTCCAAGAGCCGTCTTGTACACTTTGCATATAAGTTGGTCCAGCCTGTCCCTCTCGCATTCCAGTAGGCGCAGATATGGTAGTGCGTACTGTGAGAAACATATGACGAAGGCATGGATAAGCTGTAGTAGCTCTCTTTCTATCATGCCTTGCTTTCGAGCGGACATGCGAGCAATGAGGCGAGTAATTTGAGTGACGGCAACGGTGAGGCGTTCCAGGGCGATGATGTTCCGTTTATTTGATTGAATGAATAGTCCTAAAATGCGCATGTGGTGAACTTGTGGTACAGCTACACCGTTGACATAGATTTGGATGGCCGGTCGGGGAGGGTACTTGTTCCGACGGCGGTCGGGAGGAC